GGGATTCTATTGTGCTACAGCCTCTGCTAAGTTACATGGATGAAACATATACTCCACAGAGCTGCCTTCAAGTACAGTAGTCCCCCTATTCCCCCCTGGTACATCTGCCTGTCATATAAGTTACCTGGTTTTTAGAATTTCTTGAAATCATTCTTGTTGGATTTATCACAAATGTTTTGGTATATTTTGATAAGAAGGTTCCTGTTTTATTGAGTAAATGAATGTTTGAATAAAAACTCAACATAGAAATTACATAAATGTCCACCATGGTACTGGATTACTTTTGTAGTTCTCTTCCCCCCATCCCTGATCTCGGTGAGCTGAATCTGTCAGGTGTGGCATGGACAGGTGCTCCTGTAGTGTGTCACCACTGTGAGAGCAGGTTCCATATGATGGGCAATGTGATGTAATGGTGAAGACTTACAGAGGAAAGCAGGATCAGAAAGTCCTTGGACTTCAGCTCTCACAGGGTACCACAGAGATCTTCTCCTGATGTAATTCATTGACTGTTGGTTTTCTTCCTGATTGTACATGGAAACCTTTTATGGTGGCAGAATGTTTAGCTTTTAAACCAAGACGTGTCATTACTATTATTGTGTCTTATTCTGTACAACTTTCTAGGATTCTTGGACTCTCTTTTTCTATATATGCAGGTAGGCCCAGAGTGTTTACTTGGCTACCATTTATCTGATTCCTGGGACCCACTAAAAGAGGATATATTTCAAAACAGTCACCTTTTGTTGGGCAAAGGAATAATTAATGGTAAATCCTTCAAAAAGAGAAAGCTTTAACCCTTTGGTCCTTTAAAACCCAGGTCCCGTTGGTGCTAACTTCCCTTTCATTGAAAGACAATGAACCTTCGCTTCTGTTCTGCATCCTCACCTTCAGCGTGGGTTCCTGCATAGCTCAGGTCAGGGTCAATTATCTGGGGGCTCAATTATCTAGCAGGAGAGGCCCCTGAGAGCAGAGTCTACTGCTTAATTGTTACTGTGGGATCCTTGGGCAATGTGCACTTCTGGGGCTCATTTACAATTCTAACACATCCAGCACGCCCTGCACCGGGAGCCCTGTGAACTGGACAAAAGTTAGAAAGTGGCAGTGCTGTTCCTGGCCAAAAGCTCATTAAGATAGACATCTCCTGCTAGTGAACATCACACAGATGACACAGACAGCTCACTCCAAATGAGAAACATTCTTTTGTTCTGTCTCACTAGGGCTTTCAGATAAAAAGAATTTGAGGCCAGCTGTGATATGAAGGGAACAGGTTTAAAATAGCTCTCAGGGGCAGTAAATGCTTAATGATCAGATCTTTCATTGCTCTTGGAACATTTGAGGAAACTCAGCCAGCTAAAATTCTTGTTGATTACTTTAACAGAGGCCCTTTGTTCATATTATCATGCAGAATAATTAGGCCAATGCAAGCAAATCCTTAGCTATATACATAATTAAAATGTTAGGCTGTGATTAAACAGACAGTATTGGCACAGACAGCACCTATTCACTTCATAAAAGAGTTCCATCACTACCTTAAGCTTGGTTTTACCCTATTTTATTAATTATTTTGAAAAAATAAGTTGTATTGGGATAGTGGAAGATGACATGTTTCCAGTGAGGAGTTAATGAGATTTTATAATGGAGAAAAAAGATCTAAGTATAGCCAAAGTATTTAGCTTATAGGGCAGAATTAAAGGTGAAAAAAAGAGCACTAAATCTGTTTTAACTTACTTAAAAGTTCATTTTGAAGGGGTTATGTCAAATTTTCTCATTTCCTCCCCAATTTTGCTATCTCTTATGCAGCAGTAAAATCTTCAAATTGAAGAGTTTATGAGGCACCTGAAAGTTTGTCAGAAAGAAAAACTCTTTGATCTATAAAATATTTTATTTGAATGTACTTTCAACTTATTGGACTACCTGTTTTAAGTCAAAAGCTTATTGTCAAACATTACATCATTCTGAGCTCTCCTAAGACTAACTGCCGACTTTATTTTGGGATTCTCTCTCAGATGGCAATTACTGACAATAACAGTTATGGTGTTGGCAGGGGCAGACTGACTTTTCACAAGCTTTTTTAGAAATGGGCCAGGATCCTTTGTGAGTTCCCGGGCAGCAGAGATGGAATTTTACAGAGTTTCTCCAAGGAAGGTCATCAAAAGTTCTTAGGAAGCAGATTTTGGCTCTTCTGCTTTTTTGGGTCACAAAACCTTGTTTTACCAGGACTTTTTCACAGTGGGAATAGGTTTCCCTAGTTCTGAGACTGGAGGGAAGCTGATAGAGAGGCGACACCTGATAGAAATCAGGTAATTTTGATGCCAGGGAGCATTCTATAGTTTTTGACTTTTTTTTTGTTAATATATATTAGGCAACATATTATAGAACAGTAGCAGTGGCTTTAAGGCTGATGGAGAGAGCCCCAGAAGAGATCCTGGGTTCACCTTGACTCCCTTTCAGGTACTAGACCAGAGCAATCTTTTCTTACAAGCAAGGTCTTTGGATGTGATTTCTGAGATGGAAATAAAAGTTAGTCTGCTGGGTTCAGCTCACTGCCCTGAAGCAAAACTCAAAGTGACAACTGCTCTACTCTCTTTACTAATCCTCTGGGCTAAGCAGTCCCCTGAGAACCTCTGCTTGGAAATCTATTAAGATTTCACAAGTTGTTCAGCAGGAGTAGCAATTAATGATTTGCACTATCTCTGAAAACTGCAATTTAAAATGAGAACAAGAAGATGAGAAAAGTCTTTCTCCTTTACACTTACAATAGCCAATGTCATATTTTCCCTAATTTTTTTGTGCCTTTCGTCCAGATTGAAGTGCTCCTTCCTTTGTTGGGTCAGATGTCCCTCTAATGTACAAATAGACATATTTGCACGGAATTTGATCGAATAATTTCCTTTGAAATACTACTTGATGTATCTTTTTCTACTTGAATTTCACAAAAGCCTTCAGAGACTATTATGCAGATTTATGGAGAAATATATTTTAAGGGAACAGTGGCAGGCTGTGAGTTTCTGCTATATTTGAGCTGTGTAATCTAAGAATTGGAAACCCCATTAGCCTGTTAGTGAATTCTTGGCTTTGAAAATCTTCCAGCAGCTAAATTTTGCTGGAGTTTTATTCTAGAGGCACTGCTCTAGCAGAAATTCCTTTTAATATTTTAATCACACCAAAAAAAAAAAAGTATCTTAAGAAATGCAGCAAAAAAAAAAAGTCTTTTAAGAAATGCTCTACTTGGTGAAGAGGCCATGAAAAAGACCTGCAGTTTGCAATGTTCAGTATTTCAAACGCAGTTTTGCAGCTGCCAAGAGTTTCTCTGCTCCTCAGTTTTTCTAGGGTGCTTAACTTCTTGCTTGAAAAGTATATTTTCCTAGATACTCAATGCATTATCGTGAGTTGCAATCATCATGAGCACAGTGGTTATGATAGTTTTGTCTTAATAAGAGTGATCTCATCATGGATATCATTTAGATGGGGTAAATAATTCCCAACACAAGCAGACTATAAAGACATTGGGAGCTTGTTATAGGCTGATGTCATGGGAAGAGCCTAGTCTCTTCAGCAGGGACTCATCAGTTTATAAAGTTCTCTGAAAGACATCTGACTTTGAAGTAAGAAGAAAAATCAGGGTGGGAAAAGCTGGTGTAAGTTCTTAAGTCTCTGTGGGCTTTGACCATTATTATCAATAGAATCTTTCAGTTGCTTATGATTGCAAAATAAAAGAGACTGTAGGCCAAATAAAGAAGATAATCTGCTTTTTATTTTTAAGTTTTGTTTGTGAAAAACAGTCCATAATTTATAAACTTACTCTTTCAAGCAAAACAGCAGCTGGAGTTTTATTTCCAGAATCCTGGCACATTTGCTGAAGCTCAAAATCACTATTTTTTTTTTTCTTAATTTTTACTTTGTTATCATAATTTACATAGTGTAAAATGAGTGAAAAGGGCTACTGGGAGGATTTGGTTGCATAATTTTACACCTGGTTTGCATTAATATACATGAAGTTAAACTTAGTGAATAATCAGTTCTGATTGTAAACATCCTCTAATGCTTTTTGATGTTGTCATTGGACTATTTTTGAAAAGACGCCACTGCCTGGCTGGATCTAAACCCAAAGATTTTGTGAGACTTAGCTTATGTGGATTTATAACATGGCACTCAAAGCAAGGAAATATTTTCTAATAGCAGAGAATTGAAAACATGATCTCAGATATGAAAACTCAGCTTTCTGGAACATATCACTTGGAGTTGTATGCGTGCATACGTGTCTCTAATAGTTTTTTTTTTTTTTGTTAACTAAATAACCACATTTAGAATCTAATCTTCCTTTTTCTAGAAAGACCTTTGTGAAGATTGATTAGTTGGTGACTATTGTCTATTAGGTTATGGATAGCTATGCAGCCATAACTATAAATACTTCTACATAATGTCTTTTTATTTCACTAAGGGAAAAGCTGGCCCAAGAGCTCACTTTTCTTGTTTGATGTTTCTATAACACTTCCCATTCCACCCTAAGTACACTAAGAAAAGTTTGTGTAGAACCTATTTCAGACTCTATTGAGCTGCAGCTACCACAAACTGCATTTAGCAGCATAAAAGCTGGCCACACTGCCCAACACTTAGTACAGGAAATGAAAATAAATGCCATGTTAATGTCAAGCTCGATGTGGTAACTGGGAAGTCTGGCTCTTCCCTTTTAGAGATGTGGAACAGAAATGTCCCAGTACATAAACCTTAAGCATCACTAGATTTCTATTTATACCTCTGTAATTAGAACTCAAATTCATTGTCCCATGTTAGCTGTTGGCAGAGGAGAAAACTGCCGAGAACCAGGCTAGAGCAGCAGCTTTGTCTAGGGAACATGAAGTGACTGGGAATCTGTGAAAAGTATAAAATGTACCTTTGGTACAGATGAATCTCTAGAGTATACTACAGTGGGTTTAATGCCAGCACAGAATGTATCAGTATGACCCCTTTTTAAAGACATTGGGATTATTGCTGTTTCCATCAGTGGGAATAGAATAGTTTTAATTTACTGTGGCCTTCACACACCTGATTTTTTGATGGTGTGATCCTGGAACAAACAAAGGTTGTTTGAGAGAAAGAGGAATGTAAATCTATAGGAGATAGATTTGATTATGGTGGAGAGATAACTAGCTGTGGGTGCTGTTTGTAGTAGTTAGCTACATGTTATGCTTCGTGTGATGTACTGTCTCTGTCTCTTGATCTGAGGTCACTTGAGGACAGACTGGGAGTTTTTACTTTAAGTGGTAGTGCAATCAGGCTCACTGCATTTACTGAATGAACTATCATCCAGTGTGCCTACATTAAAAACTGTTTTGCAGGGTTAAGATCAATTACTTGTTTTTGCTTTGGATGCTTTGCATTCTTGCTCACAGTTGGGCTGGTGTTATGTGAGAAGGGAGGGTTGTGGGTTCATACTCATATACTCATGTAGTTGCAGACATACTTTACCCAAAAAGTAAAACAGTCCAAAACCTCAGATCAAAAGATGAAGACATTTTTTAAACTTCTAACAAAAGCAATAAATGAAAATAAGGATTAACTTTGTCAATTTTCACCCCTCCCTCAATAAATCACTAAAATCTTGGCTTTTATCTTAGATGGATAACACAATAGGCACTAGAGCACACCAACATTACGCAAATACTTCATGTGCTATCAATTATTTTGGAAGGAGTCATCATCTGAATTGTGAAATGCTTTGACCTTTTTTTAAATGAATAGTGTAGGAAGAGGAGAGTGTTAGTTAGGCTGACACATTGTTTCTCTTGTACTTGTCTGGGTATATTTCAAAGTATTCAGAAAAACACAGCAGTGAACAGGGCTCCTGCCTCCATACCCAGCCCCTCCTGACCTATGAGTCATGTGGAGTCAGAGGTGATCCTGTTACGTGAGAAGGGGAGAGGAGTGAAGTGAGAAGTAAAATTTAGTGTGCTGCTAAAAAGCATTTGGATGTTATGAAATCAAGAGAATACATTCAATGGGGATGCAGCTGTGCAACCCTGACAGTTGATGACTTTCAGTCTTCAGCTGGTAGGAAGGTGAATGCCTCTGATGGAGTTAGGAGCAGAGCAGGCCCATGTGCCTGGAGTGTGTTCTCATGGAAAGGATTCTCCTAACAGACTTCTTCTAAAATGAAAAGATAGCCAAAGTGAATATGCAGGGTGTGATGAAATAACAGCAGTCAGTTTCATTAGAAATTTCCAGTGATATTCCGGATGTCAGATTTGATGTACCTACTGATTCAAAGTGATTTACTTCTCATTTTTGCCAAGGCTGATATTCTCCATATTAGTTAACACTGCCAGCCATGTGTGAGTTACAGTTTTTCCCCTTATGTTTCTGAAAAACATCTCATTTTTAGGCATTAGCACAGATTGATTCCATCAACATTCCCCCAATTATTTTGAGCTTCAGAATATGTTTTGCCCAGAATGCAGTAAATCCTATACTGTTCTCTTAGTTGGCAATGCTTGATTTCTTCTTAGGTTGGTTTCCATATATGGATGTCAATGCTTTCTTTGATTTTCAAAATTAATCTTGCTGGGTAGGTGAAAGCTGAATTAAATTGGGTATTTTCTAGTCTGACTCTTCCATATCTCAGTATCAATTTCACAGCAGGCAGTCATGCACTGCACCCAGCTGGGCACATGGCTTTCTCTGAGGTGCAAACAGGGAGCTGAAACCAAACATCTTGAACAAACAGCACCCTATACAAACCATCTTATTTTATTATCAATTTCAGAGTTTATTAATTTATCAAACCAGGTCAAAGTGATACAAGTATATAAATAAGTACTGCAACAGACATACATCTCATGAAGAGAATGCAAAACATGACACTGTGTATTTTGTTGTCTTTAGTGACCAAAACCGCAACACTGCATTTTACTAAATGATGTTTATGACTGCTTTTTGCTTTTCTTAAGAAGTGTTTATTATAAAATAAATACACAATCTGGATTCCACCAGTCCTGTCACAAATCCAAAAAAGCAGGTTGCCTTCCTCATAAAAAAAAAATTACAAACCCTGTACACTTTCCACTTAGTCTTTTGCCACTATCTACTGCTACAAACAATGCCTGTTAGGTGAGAAATCAACTGCTGGTCTTCTCACCAGACAACACTACAATTCCTCAGAACCTCTTCCTAAAGATTTATAATAAAATTTTGCAGTTCTGCAGCACATTTTAACCCAGTAGTTTCCATGTGCAATCAGTGCTTCTCAAGCCAAACTGCTTCTTCTACAGTTACACCGCAGCTCTGGTGCAATGAGGTTTTAGGGCCTTTGTTTAGATATGCTACACCCCTTTCCAACACCACGACAGGACTTATGGAAGCTGCAGTCCCCTGGAAAGGTGGCAGGACAGTTCACTTTGTTCTTCTTTTCATGAAGAGTGATAGAGGATTTCTCTTAGCCAGGTGTTCCTGCATTTCAATGGCCTATACAACCAAATCTTATCTGCTCTCTGGCCAGGCATAGGGACAGCAGGGTGGTCCTGACATCACCTGTATGTTTTCTTCTAATTCCCTTCAGTCTTTCCTTCACCTTCATGTCTGTTCTCCTCACTTGCTCCTCTTTGTTGAGAAGCCCTGCATCCCACTTCTCCTGAGGCTCAGGCAGCACGGCCAGGCCCTGAGTGCCATGGAGAAGCCTGCTCCTGACACCTGCACTGCTGATGGAGACTGCCAGGGTCTGCTGCCCAAGCCAAGGATCCCCTCGCGATGGTGAAGCTCTGCCTGAATGGGCTTTTGGCATTCAGTACCAGCCTCTCCCACAACTTCATCCCTTTAGGAATGTGGACACCCTTGAGTGCTGTCACTGGCAGAATGACAAATCTCAAAATCCTTGCTGTCACTGTTGATTTCACTCCCTGTGAAGCCCCAGCCCCAGCTCAGGCCATTTCCATAAAGCTTTGTTTACTAGCATGTGTTTAAACAGCATTATTCCTGTCTGCTTTTGGAGTAGAAAATAGGAGCAAAAGCAGGTAGAGTCACTTGCATCTTGGGATTTAATCCAATATTTAAGCCACGGGGCAGTGCAGGATTTTGGTGAAAACAGTTTTCAAATTGTTACAATTACTCTACAGATGAAAGTCACCTCTCTTAAACACACTGTAGACGTGCTATACTAAATTTAACAGAATGTCTCAGATTTGAGTTTTTTTCCTGAAGATAACAGTTGTCACAACAAGCAGCTGTTTGTTGTGCTCTACAAGCCTATAGGTGTTTGTTGTTTGTCACAGGAGAGAGCTGTTCTTGAAACATAAGAATTGAGAGGTCACCCTCAGAAAAATGAAGATTATGTTTTTAACAAATCAGAACAAATAAATTAAATTCTTCACAACTTCTAAGGCATTATTAATCATGAGCTTTAATGCTTTAGGTGTTTTGAAAATACTGCAAGAACTTCACCACATCCTGCCACATCACTTTAGAAGGTGGTTTACCAGCCAAGAGCATGTGTAAATAGGACCCAGAAGAATGAAGTTATTAGGGTTATGATGGGGAGCTAACACTTTTAGAGAAGTGGGTGGAAGAAACAGTGAAAACCACTTGAAAGCCAACATTTGCTCCAATTGCTACAAAAATATATTGATTGTCACTAACACCTGCTGTTCAGTTTACGGACTTTGTTTGCTCAGCTACAAGAAATCATCCCAAAAGCAGGCTGCTAAGGAGTCTGTCAGCTTAAATCTGTTTTTTACGTCTCCAACTCATATTTTTCCTCCACTACTACAAGAAATCCATGAGTCATTTCAACAGCAGAAATGGTATAAACTCAGGACAGAATATAATGATCTCCATAGCTCCTGCACATTTATTAGGTGTCCTTCTTTTCATTAGTTTGAATAACTTGCCAAATAATAATAGTAGAAATGTTCTGATTTATCTTTTTAACTTGTAAAGAAATGCAACTCTAGGAAAGCACAGTCTTTCTTTCTCCTTCCCCCACCAGTAACACAGAGCCTTTTAGTCTTTTGGAGGAGATATTTGAACAGTTGACACAGACCACTACACATAAAGCAGCAAATTTGCTGTGCATGATGTGAATAATTACTGCATTATACTTTTGGGGTTTAGGGCAACTGCTGACTTAAGCAAAATAAGCCTGCAGTCCAGCTGCAGATCCAAGTTTTCAGAAGTTTTCTTGTGTTTTTCCCTCCAGTGCTGTCTCCCTTAACAGTGACCCTTTTCAGACTTTTCAAGGTACAAAACCTTTACCAAATCCTCGAGCTCAGTCCTGCACACTCTGCTTTCACACATTTGGCTGATCTGAGCTTCTCCCTCGCTAAATATTTTCCATTGGCCTGAAAACAAAAACACAAAGGAGACAGATATTGACTTAGGAAAGGGCACAGGGACTTTGAAGACATTTACTAGCACTTTACAAAGCAACTGATTCACAATGGTCAAAGAGGGAATGTCCAATCCTCCCATGGAAAATATTCGAAGCATCTTACAACCATGTAACATATTCCATGCAAAATAACTCTATTAAAAAAATAAATATGGATCTGACTATTACTATTTTCTTTAATTAAGTAGTCCTGTAAGTTGGCTCAACCATTTTATGACACTGGATACCCTGGTAAACCATAGTATTTAAAAGCTGGGAAGCAACACAGCTAAATGTTTCACATGCTGTGAACTCCTCCTATCTGTGCCTAATACGAAGTGTGATGGAAAATAATATTTCTACATATTTATTATAGTGGTAATAGAAATGCATACTGTCCTGGTAACTAGAATACTACTGGCTACTAGAATACATTGCAGATAACAATGACAAGCTTATGGAAGGCTGACAGCAAAAAACTAGGGAAGTTGTTACATGAAAACATATCTGTATCTCAATAGGTCTGTAACAATTAAGAATATGTTATTTCTGGGAAAAAGACTTTTTAACTAGGAAAAAGTTATAGAAAAAATTTTCAAGTTATGAAAAAACTAGGAAATGAAAATATCTATATCCTATTTCAGTTAGCAAATTAGCTGAATTAGTAATTATTAACTACTGTCACAAGCCCAAACTGGATGAAATACAAAAACCAAATTGAATCAAGAGTGATAAAAGTAGTACATGCCCTTTCATAAAGGACATTCATTTTAATAATGAAGATGTTGTTAAGAACATAGGAAAGTAATTTTTCAAACACAACATAAATGTATGTAGAACCCCTTTAAAAAGATCTGAATTTTCTCCCTTCTAAATGACTTTCTAAAACACTGGGGTAACTTGACATGTTACATAAATAAATCCAAATTCTGCAGCTGTGCTGACATTAGTCATATTTCTGACTTATGCTAGCATGGGCAGAAAAGATCCTGTATTGTACTTTATCAAAACACAAGAGACTAAGCATGTACACAAACTACTGTTATATGTATCTATATTTTAAATTGCTGTATTTTGATTACTTAAATCATCAACTATTGTGATCATATGCTAGAGGAAAATTCAGTATATCCACTTGACAGGGATGAGTAACAGAGAGTGTTTTTCATGGCTATAATTATATGGAGAGTAAAAACCTCAATATGTCAGAATTTACTTACTAAGGGTTGTCCTTGTTATCAGCTTGAAGTAAGGAAGTCCTTCAAATTCTCTCTTGGACAATTTTTCAACATAGAAGTGATGCAGAATCCCTTCAGCAAAGAAATGAGAAGTGCATGTTACTGGAAATGTGCCTATTGTTCTAAACCTGGAGTGCTGTCCTGCCTTTTTGTAAAATTTTCAGTCTATGCGTTTTTTAATGCTGTTTCTCCATCCCTCTGTTTTTTTGCTATTCCCCTGTAAAACTATTCTCCTATGAAACTGGAATTGCAGGGAGTTTCTGAGGGGTGTGAGAATTAGCCAATTCTTTTCCAAAACACTGAATCCTTCCTAATTATTAGTAAATGTAAGATTATAACAGAAGCCAAAAGTCCCAGTGACTTGGAGAAAAACAGCATAATTATGCAGTCAGATACCATCTTGAGCCAGCAGGCAACATGACTGTCAAATCATTATTAGGCTTTGTGGCTTTTTAACACACAGGGTAGTTGTGAACCACCTAATGCTCTGTGATTTCTTTTCTGCTCCCACTTTGGCCTTGGCTTTTTTCTTCAAAGCATCTAGAGATGTATAATTTCCATGCAAAAGGGTGCAGTATATGAGGGTTTCCTATGAGGATCACATGCTTTTTGCTTAAAGTAGATAGAGATGATTTTTATGAGGCTGGAGATAATTTTTATTACACTGAAAGTTCATGATTTGCAGTAGTGCTTGGGCTTCTGAATGCTTCTCTATTTTGTTCTAATTTTACCAGTTAATCTAGTAAAATATATTGTTTCCATCCTTAACACATTTTTTGCCCATATCCTGTATGTTCTCTCATGGATGTATCATCACTATCGCAGACAGGGCAGACTGATTTCAATGGAAAGCTTTTTGGTCCATCCTGAGTAAGAGCCTCCAGGCACTTGTTTCAAACACTACTACCCATTTAGCTGCAATAAATTACACAGAGTAATACTGAAAACCTGTTTGTCATTGTGCTTTTGTTCCCAATGAAGGGTAGGAGTGAGCAGAACTACAGCTTTGTGTGTTTCCAACGAGTTTTGTACAGAAAAATTTGAGTACATTGGAAGTGACTGCAATAGTACTATCCTAAAGAGTCAAAAGAACAGCAATCTAAAATGCTTGGATCTGTAAATTGTCCTGGGATTTTAATGGAAGATGATACATTGTTTAAAGAAAGAATTTGCTCAACTCACCTTTTCTAATTGTCCACACATGTATTTCTATTTGAGGTGGCTTTTCAATTTCTATTGCAATTTTCCTGATGGTTTCTCCTTCCTCTGTGAAAATGGATTCATAGACAGGAAATGTCTCTTTCCCACAGAAGTAATCTTTGTTGTCAAAGGTTTGACTTGGCACATCTTCTGTTTAAAAAACAAAAAGAACAGAACACATACTACAGCTATAATCAAGTCCTCCAGAATTTACTTGGCATTGATAGCCAAGAATGTTTAGTTTGAAAGTAGAATTTTCATTTGTATGGCCACACAAATCCATCTCCAGCTGTTAACACAGACACTTAACAGTGTTCTGCCATGTTCTGGTAGCCTGTCCTTGGTGGTAAGACACTATTTTTACTTGTAATCCAGTTTCCTAAGGGAATGAGCTGTGTACAGCAATATGGTCTGGGACACTCCTCACAAGTTTGGAATCTGTTGTCTACTTTTCAAACATATTTGAAATTATGTTAGAAATCTCGGGGTAGTAAAAGAACTAAATGAAAATTGGTGGTTGGTTAGAGTGAAGAGACCCAAATTAATGTTTTGCTGAGGAAAAGAATCTATGAGGTTTGCATTTTGCTTGGCAGCAGCCATGTGGCCAGTGCAAGCCTGAGCCAGCCACAGCACACATAATCTCTTGCTCACCTGATAAAGTTGTAGAGCATAAGTAGAAATTGTAATTATTCTGTTTGCAATTGAAAGTTTGACAGGAATATAAGAGAGATGATGCAACTTAGAGACTCAAACCCCTGTTTGTAGAAACACCTAACAATTAATAAATCTCCACATGTACAAGACAGACTGCAGGAAAAGGTTCAGCTTTCTTAAAAATGGGCACATAGGATCTCCAAAAAACAAGGCAGTAACCTCCTTTTTGCCATTAATTTTTCTATTGAAGCCTGTTAGCCAGGCTTTGTTGGCTGTTGTTCCAATGAAATCTGTGGATCTCTGCTTCACAAGTGTCCAGAAGACCTACATACACACCTCCTGCCTGCCTACTGCCACGGCATCGTGGTTTTCCCCCAGTAAGCAAGACTAGCAGAAGATGGGAAGTGTGCATTCTACCAATGTTTCTACATGTGGCTGAGCAACTCATTTCCTCAGAGCATCCTTACCCAGTGCATCACCAAACAAACACATAAAGGGGTACTTAAAGGAACAGTTTAAAGGCACATAAGGGAACTGGATAGTCCTTTACCTTTTGTATTACATGAAACGTGGCTTTTCATTGGGCAAACCATCAGCAGAATCCTTTTAGGAGATTTTTCACCAGCGGCAAGCATTTGTTTCAGTAATGTCTACGTAAGTTTTATCATTAGTGCAGCATAAACACAATGCTAAATCTGTGATAATTTAGTATTTATTTTAAGGATTAAGTTATGTAACTGACACCAATCGGAGTTTTGAATCCTGGTACATTTTAAAAATCAGAAATGATGTTATCTCCACATGGATTTTACAAGCTAGAAAATTATTTGAAGGTTCTGTGGGCCCTGTGCTAGGGGAAGGATGTGGCCTTTTGGCAGTAATGAACTTTCTGTATACATTTCTGTATACATTTCTGTAATACTCTCTTTGGAAATGAGCATCAGGAAGTTGTGCTAACAGCAGAGAGAAAGGCAGTGACTGCTAAGGACATGTGCCAGCAGCATGTCCCCTGTGTGAGGAGCAGCAGCAAGAGGAGAGGTGGCCAGGCAGCTCTGCCTGTCTCACACTGAGTCTCTGCACACACACTGGAACATGGCACAGCTGCTGCTGTTCACATCAGAGCTTGTGATCAGGAGGCTTGAGCCAAGCCCTTTAACATGCACAGCAAAAAGGTGGTCTGTGATCAACTTTGTTTTACCTGGACAGACTTTACAGCATTTTCCTTCTACTTTCTGAGGGTATTTGCAGGGATATTGTTCTGGACAGTGAATTTTCTTACATTCTTGTTTGGTGATGTTGCAGGTGCACAACACACACTCTACGATTCCAAAGGCCCGGAGATTGGGATGCCAAGATTCACCATGTGAGTATGTTTTGCCATTTGAAACACAAACTACAGAAGAAAAGAAAAAGAAGAAAAGGTTCAAGTGGAGAAGGTATGTTCACTTGCTACCTGTCTATAATTATTCATTTGATTCATGCACATTGTTTAAAGTAGTGTCTCCATACATCATCTGTTACCATTTCGGGCCCATTTCTCTGTTTTTTAATTTTAACTTGTAGTTCCTTTACTTAAAATGAATCTGAGCCTGTGGTCACCCTTTTCTGAGAAGTTTTTCCTTGATGCCAACTCTGCTGACACTGGTGCCCATTAGGTTTTTGAGGACAACAGTGAAGGTCAAGTGTCTGACTAGCTTCCTACCCAGTTCATGCATTTCAGTTATACATTAACTAGCTTAGAAAACTCACTCCTTCCCCTGACATTCTCAGTCCACACACAGGACACAGCCTGCTACAGTGGTTTTGGCTGCATTTGAATCGAATTTGAAGATGAGGGGCTCATGTCATTTGCTACTGAGCCATTTGCTGAATGCAGCCTTTGCAGTGAGAGCAATGCTATCAGCTGGCTGGATTAGTGATACCTGGGCCTTTTATTTACTTTTTATTGCTTGTACATGAGAGTTCTGCTATGTAGCACACAGAACAAACCACAGAATACTTGCAAAATGGAGTTTAATTCCTTTGTGGAAATATATATGTCGATAGGTATATAAATTCATTTGGCTTTTGGAATCACAAGAAAACTTGAAAAGATTCATTAGGGACTGAAATTTCATTCCAAAAGCTTTTAAGAACTTCAGAATATTTATTCATCAGAGCCCCTGGGAGTCAGAGAAATACAGCTGACACAAAGAGAGTGGAAAAATCCATGCCTGGTAGAAGCCACTTTGGGTCACCCAGCAGTTGATGGGAATTAAATCACTTTACACCATGTTTCCATTTGTACTATAAATCCTACTTCTTTCTTTTTAAATATTTTATAAACACAAAGAAAAATGCAAACTAATCCTAACAAGGTGAAAGAAAGGGCACTGCTTGATTTCTAAAAGCAACAAAAGTGAAGCTGGGATATGTTGTAAATATTTCCAATTCTTCTAATATGTCATCATTTTTATACATGTTTTTATTTGTAAAATATGTTCCTATTTTGCCTGTATCTTTCAAAAGCAATTTAAATTTTATCTGTAACCTGAAATTTATATCTAACTGGTAACAGATGTAACCAACTGGTTTATATATTTTAGTGAGTTCCTGAGATTTATGGGGAGTGTTTTTTGCAATGTTTTTCATGAGCTTAGGCTATAATTTGGTTAATAATTTGCTACTTTTTAACTCTTTTTTTAAGACATGGGGCTTTTTTAGAGATAGGAAGCAGTTTTGTTTCTCAAATAAAAGTAAAGTTTTATCTGTATACTAAAAACATGGGAGAAAAACTGTAAATGAAAAAACTGCCAAGTACTCAGCTGCTCAGCAGGCTTCTTACATGCTTAAAGAACATAATATTGCCAATTTGTATGCTTCCATGGACTTCTTTGCCTCCAGCCAGGGTTCTCCAGATCCTTTATGGCCGTAAATATTTCCTGAGTTCTCCCTGACAGGTGAAGGGATAATACATAACACTGTATGGATACATACTCTCTATCTTTAAAGGGTTTTTTGACACAGAACAATTAAATAAATACTCTGAGGCAGGAGACAAAGACTCTAGTACAAGCCAAATACTGGCAAATAACTTCTAGTTATCCTTTTTTTTAGTGCTCTTCATGCTCAGAATGATAAAACTGTATCCACACAACCACATAGTATTTGCATGTCAGAAGAGTTTTGAGTTTGTTCTTTAACTTGTTGAAATGTGTCTCAAGGGACATGTGCATTAATTACTAAAACACTTGTTAATTGCACAGGAACAAAAGAAAACACAGGGTCAGCATTCCTGTTTCCATCATGGGGATCTCTCAGACACTCTCCAGGCAGTGAATGTCTGAAGTTATACTGCATCCAGAAATATGCTGCTCATCTGTATGTCCTTTATTTGCTGAAACAAGTCAGTTAGAAACTGCTTTGATGATGTCTTCATGTGCAAATTACATGTCAAAGACATTGCACTGTGTGGAGATTCCTGCTCCTAGATTCACCATAAAACACTGGCATGATCTGAATGCTTTTTCATGCTTGTTCAGGTGGATAATAAAGATCCTATAGCCAACATTCCTTCTGTTAGTTAATACCTTAAAAGATTAGTTGGCCCTAATACAAGGGATTTTAACTCTTTGTGGTAGTTTCTAAGTATGCTGACTGGTATTTATGGATAGATGCTCTTCTGAGCATGTGTTTTTACAGCTATTTCTTTTATAGCTTCCTAGGCCTGTTCCTGCAGACCTCTGTTCAAAGAGGTACACCCACTATGGGAACTAAGCATCCCATCCTTTTTACTGTACAAAATCTGCTGTCCCACTAACTGGTGAACTGGTATTTTCCCATTATTTTTGTTCTTCCTGTATGCATGAGGAATATGACTTTGAATATGGTTTGCCACATGGGCTTAAAATTCTACTGTCCCCAAAACACAGCATGTTCTATACTCTATTAGCATAAAGCACCAAAAGATTCTTTACAGTAAGAATCATTACATTGTTTAAATTTGCCTCTCTACAGCCCAGGCATCCAGTACAGGCTAATTGCCTAATCTGGCTCTTGTGTTGGTCACAGGGGAGGGAGATCATCCCTTGTGTCCCACTGTCTCAGGAAACTTGTTTAAGGTGGGGAACACATGAGACTGTCTTTCATGAGAATCGTTTGCTAAGTCTCAGAGGCAGAAAACCTCCTGATACTGTGGCAAAGCTTTCTGGTCTGAGATTTTCAGGGCAGTTGAAATATAAGCTGTTTGCAGCTATAAAAGTTACAAAATAGGAGAGTGTAAAGAAAATAGCCACAAAGAATTTCCTCCAGGACAAGTCACAGTGTGAACAAGTTAGTGAATCTAAAGACATTGTGGTGCCCTTTGTGGCACAAAGCACTCACTCCCCTGGTAGGGCTGCCACATGAGCTCTCAGAATTACGGGGCACAACCCCACAAAGTAACTCAGAGAGCAACACTGCTTTTGCAGAGTGAAATGCAATATTGTATGTGCAGGCAGGGTTGATCTCAGTCAAAAAGGAATTTCATATCCTCAATAGCTTATTGCTTTTGCCTCCCTGATTTACATCAGAGTTCTCAATACCAGTGCGAATTTTCAAGATTCTGCTGTATATTTTGAGAGGTCTTTTTGAGCTTTAGGTGACTGATTCCTGACCCAGAGCAATACTGGAAGAAGTGCTTGTCTTTACCTCGTCCGTGCCTGTGCTTGTTGTTGATGACGATTTGTACGATTGTTCCTGAGGCCTGCTGGGGATCCGGGAGTGCTCCACGGTTACTCCTGGCACTGGGAAATCGTGGCACGCTGACTGCCTGCCTGGCAGAGCTGGGTGACAGCTCGTGATGGGAACGATGGTAGGAGTGTCTCTGTTTGCAGGCAGAAAGAGAGCAGCAGAGTAAACGTCTCATTCCAGTGAACAAGGGGTACGAGTAGGGAACGAGTGTAGTAGTTTTCTAAAAACACTGCTTCTTTTCAGAGAATCATTTTCCAAAATGCCCATGAACCTGAAGGTTTCATATTACAGCCCTTATTTTATAGACGTGATTCTTCCCACCCACCCAAAGCTCTGTTGGTTCATGTATTTAAGTGGTGCACCTACTGCCTAAAAGTGCTTCAGATTCTCTCCAAATGCTGCTACAAAAATAATCTCTTGTGCAGTAAGTTGCTAGTGGATACTTTTACCACCAAAGATAGTGAATCTCTATAGTAAATATATATGTGTGTATGTGAACTGGGAAGCAAGTACTTGCAATTATTATTTAAGAGCAATTTACTGTAAATTTTATTCTTATAGAGCATATACAGAAAAAAAAACAAATCCAGATACTTCAGTAGCTCTTGCTCTAATTCAGCATTATTCATGAATTCAGGTTGAGTGAAAGAAACCTGTTTTGGGCTAGATTCACAGAACCCAGAATGAGGGAGTAAGTATTCAGACCCATTTCTCTTTTTTCCCAATGTGCTGCACAGCAAGAAAGTCTATCTTTAAACTGTAGGTCCCACTTACAGCTTCCCTGTTGGCTGGCTGCCGGAATATGTCTCCATCAGAATGTTCCCATGATAGTTCTCCATCTCCTGTACATGAAGCAGAACAGTATCCATTAGAGGAGTAACTCTGCAACCCTTTGGGGAAAAGTCCCACCTGGCTTCACAGCTGTATTAGTGTCTAGTCAGTAGCAGAGGAATGAATATGAAAATTAGCACATTTTGATACTAATATACTTGGCCATGCAGGGAGCAGAAGCTGACTCGCTCTTTCCTCCCCATGAGCTGTGCTAGATATTTGCAAATATTTTGTTTAGGTTTGCATTTCAAAGAAAACAGAGGTGAGATAAAACACCTTCCATATTGAAAAGGACAAGGTAGATTATGAGATAAATTTTTAAATAAGAGGAGAATGCATTAAAAAGCCCTGGATCACTGGACAGTGGGTTGCCTCTAGTGCATAATGGGATGTAATCTCACCTCTCATATGGATAATGAACCAGTTTCTCATTAGTGGCTGTGCCTGATGTGACTGATTCCTCCAGTGTAAGGCTAGTTTACTGCATAGCTATGTTTGATACGTTGTACTTTGAAAGTCTGATTTTTGTAATTGGGTTCCGATACAACTCAAATAATTACCTGGTAACTGACATCAGACAATTAACAAGGATTTACTTTCATTAACTGTCAATGTATTACGTTTAAAACAGTATATCACTGTATTTCTTCCTGGGAACAGAACTATCACTTTGCTTGTTAGAGAGCAACTTTTTTGCCTAGCAAAAAGTTTTAAGATTTGTAAAGATACTGTGGAGTAACATGGAAAAGCAGCAAAGAATGAGGAACAATCTCCATGCAAAGAAGCACTGCAGAATGATCCTCACCCTTCTTCTGTCTGAGGTGATGCGTTCAAGCACAGAGCACTGCCCTCCCAAGAGATCAACTCAGGTGCCACACATAAATGAATTACCACTGCATGGTCCCCAGAGTAAGCAGCTTTGTCACCCTGCTGCACTGACAGGACTACACAGCTCCTGTGCAGGACCTCATTCCTTCAAATTGCACAGGGCTCTCTCTGCATCCTGCTGCTTTATTAGCACTGATGCACTCTCAAGTACCTTCTGTGGCTCAGCCCTCCACTGCTCAGAGCTTCTGGTTCAGTTGGTGCACTCAACCAACTCCTCAGGTCAGGGGCTGTGGGACTATGCTGGTTTGTGTTTCACATCTCTTGCACCATAGGGAAAATTAATACAACCAACTAGATAATACTCCTTATTTTTACCGTGCAATAGTACTGAGTTCAAATAAGCAGAATATCAAAAGAATGCAGCAGCACAGATGTGCAAGCAGGGGAGATTTTCAAAGCATCCTGGCATCACCGATATTATGAGTGGCACTTCTGAAAAGTACAGGTACCTTTAGGTGCTTATCTGCATCTTTGAGAATAGGCCACAGATGCTTAGATACCCTGGAAGTGGTGGTTCAAGTGCCATAATACTAATGGTGAGATAAAATACATTTAGAAATTCTCGGACACTTTGGGCTTTTAGACAGGCAGTTAGGTTTAGACATTCAGAAAGGCTTGGAAGAACCCTAGAATCAAGTATCCTGTGGGTGCAAGATCTAAAATGCAATTTCTAGTAAAATACTGAAGTCACCTGAATATTGTCTGACAACTAATTTAAATTGGAGTAATTGCCCTTGCCTCTGAATTGAAATTCTTGTGTCTTGCACAACTTGAGTAGGTCTGCTGACTTGTCAGGTAGAAGCTCATCTTTTATGACAAAGCTTCTCTACCCAGAGTAATGGCAGCTACTTCAATACATCATTTGAAGCCTTGATGCATTAGGGGAATGCAACTTTATCATCAGAGCTTCTCACCTTGCTTCAATTTCAGAAAACAAAGGTAGCAATGTTACCTTTCTGGCACTCACAGAGTAATTTCCCAACATGCAATGAATTGTAATTACATGGGGAACTTGCAGACAGTGTCCTCAGTGACAGTGCTGGTGCACAGACAAGGCTCTGAAAAGGGAAAGAAAATTCAGAGCCTGTCCTTCTGTGACTAGGCTTCAACATACCTCTGCAAACTGGACAGCAGGACTCCGGAACGGAAACTGGGAAAGAGCAAGTTAACTTGGGACAAGTCTTCAATCCACAGTACACATTTCCTTCCTGCCAGTAAAACACAAAAGGGAATTTAGGAGCTGTCAATTGTCTGGTACTGTATATTCTGTTTTTTTAATGGACATGCTTAAATCCATGTTTACATAAATGCCACTCTATGCAGAAGCAGAATATTAGATTAGAACAGTCTGTTCAGTACTTGGCTTATGAAATTATTAGTTAATGAAGAATATGACGATGATTTTATGAGAGGATGTAGAGAGCTGCCAGTAGTTGATACTGAAGAGCTGCTTGGATTGAGATGTTTTGGTTCAGACACTGGCTCTGGGCACTGGGTGACTGCTCAAATATACTGGATTTGAATTGTGACATCTCAGGAATGGCTCTGTGGCCCAGTGCCAGCTCAGAGCTGTCCACTCCCAGACTTGGGGCTCTTTACTTATCATCTCAGTCTAAATGAAATCAGTCAGTGCTATATTTTACAGTTAGGTTGAAGGGAAATATTCTATATATGCTAAGCAGCAATATTTTACCTGCTGCCTCTGCACTGTAAACCCAGTCACAGCATATGCAGGGTATGCATTATGCACTGTGTTTAAGAGGTCATCTGGCATTTATTTACCAGGTACTGCACACTCTCACCAGCTCTGAGCACTCTCATGAGTTTCAGCATTAATTCTCAATTCCCAGCCTTTGCTATACATTGCTTATATTTCAGTGTCACATCTTCTAGAAAGGAGAACTGGAGCATAGACAGAGCAGGGATCTGTCAAATCATGTTACTTACTGAGCAGCTGCACTGGGCACACTGGTTTGCTTGCCTGTTTTGGAAAAGCCCCTCAGCCACGAACATTTCTCCATGGTGGTAAGTAGTGCCATTGTATTCACAGGACTTCCCAGTGATTTTGCTGCTTACTGAGAAAAGGGAGTCTTCTGGAAGAAAGGGGAAAGGAACATTTCATACAAATATTCTTGAAAATTCATAATGTCATAAATACATAAATACAGGGGAGCAAAAACTTCCCTCCTCCCTCATTTCTCTATTATGGAAGGACAAGTTTTGTATTGCTGCAAAGTACAAGTGATATGTTACTATCTTGCTGAACTTTGGTAAATCACACTTTGAGGTGATTGTCCCAGATATTTCTAGTATGCCTATGACCAACTGCAATGCCAGCACTAATGGCCCTGTCTCAGGCTACAGTGTTTTCCCTTGTTTTGCAGCATTTGGTTTTAGAACAGAGGGGTGTGGTTATGTGCCTACCTGTTACATGTACATGGCTCTTTCAGTAGGTGCTGCATACACACAGAATCCCACCACTGTTCTAGCAGGGCTTCCCCCTTCGTAGCACTGGGTAACCCAGAGAGAACTTAATTGCAGGTTAGCAAGTTGTGCTGCAGGGCATGGATGATTCCCTGCCAACCACAGGCACAAACCTTTTGGTAGAGGAGCAACAGTAAAGATGATGGGACTGCTAAGAGAGAGCTATGTACAAAGTGTTTGTTCCTAGTGGCTTTCACAATTCATTGCTGCTGCTGTTTTCAAAACAGGCAAAACTTGTCAAAGGCAGATGCTAAAAGCTAACCGAAAGTTGATTTTTCTCTGACAGGCATTTTAATGTCAGATGTGCAGATGAGGGAACTTTGCAGAATTTGGTGTGTATGACAAAGTGCACAATATGGCAGCCTCAATTCAACTCTGAAACCTCCTGCTTCAACTCAGGATCATATTGAGTTCTGCACCACATGTGTTAAATGTTTTTCTAAGAAGTAAAGCTGTCCATACCTTATGCTAAAACATCCCCTGGATTGTTTACCTATTAGCAGTTGATAAACTGTGCAAAGAGAGTACACTTTACCCATGAAATGTAAGTTACTTGATACTGCTTGGGCAGTGAACCTGGCACTACATATTTATATTCACATGAATTTAGCATCTCAGCATGGGAAAAGATATTTCAAACAAGGGCTCTGTGGAAGTAACAATGGAGTGTTTGTTCTCTGGAGCCCAAATCACAGCAAATTTCAAGGAATGCAGCTGAAATTTCAATCAGCGTGTTTGGGCTTTCACGTAAAAGAAACCTGACCTGAATATTCAGGTTTTCCTATAGTCCCTTTCATTACCTATCAGCTAAACCTGGAGATATTTTTTTGTGGAACCATGACACCACAGAATGTACATTTTTCAGCTGTGAGCTCAAGTGAAAAGCAGTTTTCTGCTGGTACTTACTGCCATTAAACACGGTCACTTAATTTTCCATACAAGCATATACTAATTACATTGGTCCATCAAATATAATACTTTAAATGGTAAATGTCAAATCTGTCTGTGGAACATACATGTACTACAGTATTTGAAAGTATATGGGGTCAGCAAAGTCCATTTTGTAGGAGACTGGCAGAAGTCAGCTAGTCAGGGTTCCTTGCCTCATATTTCATTGCCTGACAAACTTGGTATTTGCACTTTCACAGTTGAAGCATTGGATACATAAGTATTTCAATGTAATCAAAAGTGTCAAATGACACTTTTCTAAAATCTTATAAAGAGTACTGAGCCCTGACAACATCTGTGTTTGGCACAGAAATGCATTGCTTTTGGCACTTGCTGTATGGTTTGCTAGTAATGCAGAGTCTGGAATGGCAAGATGTATGCTCTAATTAAGACATCCTTTGAAAGTCATCAGCAAAAGATTCAATTGACAAATTCAGCTACTATTTAGGCACAAATATTGGAAAACACGGATAAAGAGGCACTTTTCAGGACTGTGATGCCTCCCAAAACTTAAAATCTCTTTATTGGGTTTTCTGAATCATCTCATGGAAAGCAGGAGGAAAGACTGACAAACCTTTAGTTTAGTTGCCCCTTGGGCAACTGGAAGAGCAGAAGACTGAAAAGAAATTAAAATGGAAGGAGAAATGAAAGGATAACACAGATGGTCCTTGACTGGAAACAAGGCCCTGTTCACACAGCCTCTGCTGGACATTGCTGTGCCCATGAGGGATGCCTGTCCAAAGCAGTGTGTGGCTTGTGGGCTGACATTTGCTAAAACCAACACCTGAATGACTCACCATGACTCTTCAGAGTGTTGGATGAAGAGAGTCAATTTTACTGCAGATTTATCTTGGTATATGCCATATCACTCAGTTCTGTAGGAAATCACCAAATGCCCTTAAACTGTGGCTTCTAAATAAGGAAGGGGAACGGTGCAATTTTTATTGCTTGGAAAATGTGGCAGAGAATGTTGCACTAGGTTGTTGTTTTCATCTATGTTTCTTTTAATCAATCACAGAGCTTGACCCGTGACAGCTAAATCATAACATGCAGCCAAAACACATGTAATTCTGCCTGTCTGAACTTGGGATTAAATTCTATGGCTGTTCTAAACCAGAGAATCACAGGATCTTTAAGGCTGGAAGGACCATTAAATCATCAAGTCCAACTTTCAACTTAGTACCATCACCACCATGTTCACCACTAAACCATGTCCTCAAGTGCCATATCCACATGTTTTTTGAACACTTCCAGGGATGAGGATGCCACCACTTCCCTGGGTAGTCTGTTCCAATGCTTCATAATCCTGTCTGTCAAAACATTCTAAACATACCTAACATAAACCTGCCCTGGTGCAACTTGAGGCCATTTCCTCTCATCCTGTCACTTGTTACCTGGGTGATGAGACTGACACCCACCTCACTACAACCTCCTTTCAAGGAGTTGAAGTCTTATTTGATAAAATAATTGTAAGAAAAGTCAGTTTCAATTACAGGACATAAGGCCATGATTTAAATCCTATGCTGCACAGACCTGTCTATATCATCTTTCAGCACATTAAGTTACTGGACATATTTAATTATTGCACAGAGTAGGTCTGAAAGAAGATTTTAGATCAAGACCACATTACTTGTTATTGCAAAAAAACATATACAGTCATTTATTGGAGATGGCATATTGAAGAGCATGACTGATACTCTCAAAACACAGCATTTGCCTCGAGCTGCAAGGAAGATTTGTTTATTTTCTGTGTCCAAATATAATTTCTGTCTGATGCAGTGTCTGTCTAACTTTGCTGGTGTGTGACTGATTTTCTTCAACTTGGACTTGGTTTCTTTTCTAATGCTTTTTAAATCAAGGCTAATTAGAGGAGTTCAGACTCCCCCATGATATCATATTCTCCTGTTGAATGTGAAATTAGAATCATTGTGGATTGTTTTAATAAGCGCCACATTTGAGCTTTGAAAAATTTTGTCATTAATACTGATATCAGCATACATTATTCTGTGCCTTAGAAAAGACAGGTTAGAATCAGATTAATTAACTGCAAATATACTGCATTGCTCAAAGCTCTATTTGTAAACCTTGCTTCCTAATCAGGACTGTTCCCAAAGCTTTATCTGGCATTTTAATGGTGCTGACTAACATTGCTTTAATTAGCTGCCTCTGTGAAGTACCAGGCAAACCATCTGTGTGAATCCTTTTAATTAACTGAGTTCAATCTAAGGGTTTTCCCTGGCATTCTTAGCATGTCAGTGGAAGCAACATACAATGTATAGGGTAAAGATGTTATAGCATCCATTGTAAAGGAAATGTCTCTCTTTCTGTGGTTGGCATTTATTCTGTAAGGGCTTAGACTCCTGTACAGAAGTTGAGAGGCCATACTTATATTTGCCTACAATTTTAGCGTGATCAAGATAAGCCCATGAGTCTGCAATATGGATAGCAGTGATTTATCACCACCATTAGCATGAGGTAATGGCAGGAGCCAAGATCTACAACCTGGGCTTCACATGACCTGATATGAATTTCAATTTATCCTGTAAGTAACTTCAGAGGTTAAATCTGGCTGAAGAAATCCTTCAGATTTTACAAACAGACAACAGAATACAACTGTATCAAAAACTGATTGGTTTCAAAACAATTATTTTTTAAGAAGTAACTAGAGACTACAGTGGCTATGCCTAAATCCTTAAACCCAAACATTCCTCTCATCCAAACATGGGATTCTGTCCAGCTTCTTTTGTCTACCTGGGCTGTTTTTCACTGATGTCCCATACTCACAAGGTAAATTCCACACCTGATGAAGCCAATAGAAAGTATTTCCTTCAGGATTCAGCCAACATATGTGTTTGAATGCTGCTTTTTTGATATTGTAGTGTGAGGACTGTTGATCTGTACAAAGAATTTGTATCAACTAAGACCTGTAGTACAACTTGGTGTGAAAATCAACTATGAACTAGAAGTGCATACAGGTATAGTTCACAGATTTCATCAACTGTGGCACATTTGACAGAGCATGCAAAGCAACAGTATGGCAAAAGTTTTGCCATGAAGGGATGCTACCTCAGTGGGAACTGCAGCACCAGTGCTTTCCTGATAGCCTGACAAAACAGTGTTAGATATGAATTTCATAAACCACAGAAATCTTGCGGAACTTTTCTGATTCAGTGGAATCTGTTCCAATCACTTATTTTTTCATGGAAGCCTGTCTGGGTTCCCGATGGTCTACCCATACTTGAGGTGTGAAAAGGCCAAGGTCTGAGGGGAGAGTCAAAAATATACACATACCAAACTTTCCAGTTTTCTGGGAGAAACAGATTCTGTATCACATGGATCACAGTCAGTTTTGGAAACATCATCTTTCAGCTTTTTATGTTTACAATTCTATTCCTTCCTGGATTGTTATAAAAACTTGATCCTGAGATGCTTTACCCTTACTTGGATATAAAGCAGAAGAGCATCAGTTATTTGTTACTAATCCCTTGAATAGTTTAGACAAATTCCATGAGCAGTTCCTGATGTTTTAAACATCGGTAATTTCTGCAAAAGTATTTATGTGCAGAGTGAAAAGCAGCAACCAGCTATGAGCAATCTAACCTTTTGGGAAATAGGATATGACTTATTTGAGGAATGGCTTTAGGATCCAGGCCTTACTGCA